TGTGTCAGTGGTCCAGCGTGTGGGTAGATCCGCTCAGTTGCCTGTGATTGTGGCCCTGGAACAGTGGGGAGAGAGAGGGCTCACAATCCTAGCTGACACCTCAGCAGCAGCACACCCCTAACCCCATTACCCTGCCTGCTGTGTTGAAATGCTTTCATGCAGGACAAATTAGCTCTTTGTCTTGTGAAACAGCAGAATTCCCTCTGCCTGTCATGCCTTCCTTCCCTTCTCAGGGCCGGCTCTAACCCATCCCCAAGTCAGCCCAGACAGGCGTGACGCCCTGAGCTGGGCTGTGTGCCGATGCTGGGACCTCCCCTGTACTGTGGGACCACCAACCCCTATTCTCCTCTGTCCCCACTGCAGGGGAACTGTTTAAAAGTTAGTTTAAGGGAGTACTTTTTCTTTTTTTTAAGATTTTATTGATTTGACACAGAGAAAGCACAAGCAGGAGGAGCGGCAGATAGGAGAGGGAGAAGCAGACCCTCTGCTGAGCAGGGAGCCTGATGTAGGGCTCGATCCCAGGACCCCGGGATCATCACCTGAGCCAAAAGCAGATGCTTAACCCACTGAGCCACCGAGGTTTGCCCAAGGGAGTACTTTTTTAATGGGAGGGAGGGGGAGAATCATAGCTGCAAAGTATGGGAGAATTTAGGAGACAAAGTCCATTTAAGGAAGTACTTTTTTTAGGGAAAAAACTATTCTACATGTGGAGGATTTTTGGTAAATACAAGGCATTTTTAAATTGGGAGAGAAAATCTGGTGGTGTAAAATCCCCAGAGCCTCGTACAGTTTCATTGGCAGATTCCTTTCAGGAAACAGCCCAAAACTAGAGCCATTCGACAACAGCAAAAGAATTGGTAAATGTATCTGTATAAAAGTTTGAAAAGTTCTGTAGAGCAGAAACACACTTCAGTCAGAAAGCAAAGTGAGAAAAAGTAATTTCAAGATGTTGGAAAGAAAAAATGGCTAATTTTCCTAATAATCCTTAAAAAGCTACAGAAAAATGAACAAGAGACACGGGAACAACAAAAGAGAAGTAAGTAGCCAATAAGATAGGAAAGGGCATTCAACATTTCTAATAGTGAAATAAAAGCAAAAAGACAGATTATGATCTTTGGGGGAGGAGAGGGGGAGGCTGGTCAGCTTAGCAAAGACTAAAAAGTGTGCAATTTGGAGAGAGTGAGATACTCACCGTTGGTGGGGTTGTAAATTATATGAAATGATTCTGAGGAAATTTAAAGATAACTGCCAGAATTTTGTATGTAAATACCTGACCCAGCAGTTTCTTTTATTAATAGGAATTTCTGAGAAACCTAAAAGCTTTTAAAGATTTGTGCACTAGGATATTCACTTATAACATTACTGATAATAGTGAAAATTTGGAAGTGATGCCAATTTTCATTAATAAGAGTTCATATAAACAAATTATAGGATGTTCATTCACTGAAATTCTGTGTATTGTTGAAGAATGGAATTAGTTGGTATGTCCCGACATGGAAAAGGACACAAGATATTTTATATGATAAACCCTACTTTTGGAAGATAGTAAATAAAATATTCCTTTCCTCCCCGCCTTTTTTTTTTTTTTTTTTGTAAAATATGTATCCTTAAACCTATTTTTGTAAAATATGTATCCTTAAACCTCGATCCTGTCCTGGGATCGAGCCCTGCATCGGGCTCCCTGCTCAGTGGAAAGTCTCCTTCCTTTCCCTCTGCCCCTCCACTCCTGTTCTCTCTCTCTCTCTCTGTCTCTCTCTCAAATGAGTAAATAAAATCTTTAAAGAAAATCTAGTTTGAATAGGATGACTGCATTAATCTTTCTATTTCTTGGAAACCCTATTGAGAAAGCACAGAATTGTGGAACGAATTTATCTTTCCATGAGTGGGGGGACAGAGAATGCGGAGAATGGATGAGTGTGCAGATGGACAGTCGAAATGCTGACCCAGCCACATTCCTTGACCTCATCTGCTGTTTAGCTTTGTGAACACCACCTATTTTTAATCTCCTTCATGAAGAACACCAGTACTCATGACGTGGTTGATACAGTAGGAATGGTTATCTTTTGTTTATTATCCCTGCTGGTGACTGTATGTTTACATTTTAAGTTGGTTTGTTTTTAATGAAGCCCAAGAGAACCGGCTCAGTGTAAAGCTGGACAGGGTTGTTTGTCATCCCAGTTAGCTGTAGGGCCAAGTGGCATTTCTACAACAGATCTGAGGGAGAGCTTTTATAGCCTCTAAAAACAAGATTTTGTCTTCCATGTCAGTCTTTGTTTGCCTGGTTTGATGAGTCTTGTGAGTTCATCACTTCCTTCAGGTTATCAGAACGTGAATCACCTTATTGCATCAGTGAGGTAGAAGTAAATACCACATTAGTTTCTCATTTTTGATATGTGGAGATGGAAGCACTAACAGTATGTCAAGGAGATTTATTAATCTTCTGACAGATGTTTTGTTGTAAGTTGCCTGATAAAGTCATGGATGAATCTATGAGTTTGTCTCAGTTCCACACTGGTTTCTGAGTGTTCTGCTGCTTCATGCAGTTCCTACCTTACCGCGCTGGTGTTGTGTATCTATGCTGCTCAGTGAGATAGCTCCCAGCCACGGGTGCTAGCCCAGTGTGGTTAGTGGAATGGAAGAACTGAATTTTTTTTTTTTTTTTAGATTTTATTTATTTATTTGACAGCGAGAGAGAGCACAAGCAGGGGGAGTGGCAGGCAGAGGGAGAGAAGAAGCAGGCTCCCCCCCTGAGCAGAGAGCCCAACATGGAATTCGATCCCAGGACCCCGGGATCATGATCTAAGCCAAAGGCAGCCTCTTAACGCACTGGGCCACCCAGGAACTGAATTTTTAATCTTATTTTAATTTAGTCACACAAGTATATAATATCACTTGATTTGTTTTTTTTTTTGTTTAACATACATTATACATTTTCAGTGACTGCCTATTAAATGGTAGGGTCATAATTAGAATATTTTATCCCTCCCATTTTTTTTCTCTTTTTAAAATTGAAGTATAATTAACTTAGAGTGTTAAATTAATTTCAGGCGTACTATACAACACAGTAATTTGACACTTCTATATGTTACTCAGTGCTCACCACAGTAAGTGTGGTCACCATCTGTCACATACACCATACAGTGTTATTACAATATTGTTGATTATGTTCCCTATGCTGTACTTTCCATCTCTGTGACTTATTTCCTGGATAACTGGAAGTTTGTCCCTCTTAATTCCCTTTATCTATTTTGCTCTCCCCTCTCCCACCTCCCCTCTGGCAACCACCAGTTATATATAGTTCACTATTTTCTTGTTTGTTTTGTTTAGATTCTACATATAAGTGAAATCATACGGTATTTGTCAGACTGACTAATTTTACTTAGTATAATACCTTCTAGGTCTATCCATGTGGCCCCAAATGGCAAAGTCTCATTATTTTTTCTTGGTAACATTCTATCATATATATTTACCATGTCTTCTTTATCCATTCCTCTATTGATCCCTTCCATTTTGAAGTAGGTATCTTTGGAAATGTTTCAAAAATGGGGTTTTAGAAATATTTTAGACTGCTATTAGTGTGGACCATTTTAAGAAAGTAATTTCTAGGTTTGTTACTATTCTGTTAAATTTTTAGTTTTCATTTAGGCTAAGAATTTGGGAGACTTCCAGAAACCTAATCTTGGACTCCATACTATGTTACTATAGCATATGGCATTATCATGTGTTTTTTTAGCGAGCCACTGTTAGCTTGTTTAAAAGTCAGTTGCATGATGTTAGTGTATATATATATATATATATATATATATTTTTTTTTTTTTTTTAAATGCAGATCCCTATTAAGCAACAGGCCACATTTTAGGTACTCAGAGCTCATGTGACCGGTGGCTCTCTTAGTAGCACAAATCTAGAAGATCTGAATGTCACTGTTCATCACCTTCAGCTGGTTGACATTTCTGGAACACAGTACTTAACAACTGTAGGATACATATTCTTTCAAGTACACAGGGAACTTTTCACCAGGGCAGACCAGATGCAAGGCCCTAAGATACTCTGAAATCAAAAGATTGAAATCTCACAGAGTATATTCTGTGACCACATCAGAAAGTGGAAAACAGTTAACAGTAAGTTACCTAGAAAAGCCCTCTATCTGGAAATTAAGCACTATACTTCTAAATAACTTAGAGGTCAAGGAGGGAATTAGTGGAAAATCAGGAATTCCAAACTAAAGGATATGAAAATATACTCTATCGGACACTTTGGGGTTTAGCTAACACAATACTTGGGAAATGTATAACTTTATATGGTTATAATTAAAAGGGAGAGGCTTAAAATGAATGATATAAGTTTTCATCTTAAACTGCGCAAAGGAAAAAAAAAAGACTAAACCCCAGTTAAGGTAACAGGAAGAAAAGGGTAAGAGGAGAAGACTCTAAAGAAAATGAACTACAATGTGATATCTCTTCCTTTTGATAACTTGTACTCAGTAACTTGTTAGCCCATAAGGACCAGCAATAAAATTAGTAAAAAAAAAAAAAAAAAACAACCGTGTACTTTAAAAATTACAAGTAACCAATTTATAGGTAAGATAAAGATTGAATTAAGCTAAATAATTAAAATCATGTTTATGTGAGAAGCCTCAACTTCCTTGAACTCAGATTCATTCTAGTGCTCTGATGTGCCTGTTTTGGAAGATAATTTAATCTGGGTGGGGTGAGGGGGTGGCTTCTAGACATAGTTTATAAACCATGAAAGAATTTTATTGATTGAACCAGCCAGGCATCCATGCAAGAATTTTAAAGCTGAGAATTTGAACTTCGTTTTAAAATGAGCAAGTGGCATAAGCAGCTGTGTGCACACCCCCTTGAGAAGATGTATGTTGACTGTCAGGACCCTGGTATCTCCAGAAGAGTGCGGAAGTGATTGGCTCTTAGGAATTTGCATAAGCTCACTGAACTGGAAAGAATGAACATTTAATAAAATACTACACTTTTTTCTTATAGGTTTATAGACAAGAAAGAAAGGTTAAGCCAACTTAAGAGCAAGCAAGAAGAATTTCAAAAAGAGTGAGTTTCCGTTTTGCTTTTCTCTTGTCACCGTGTGGTTTAATTCAGTGCTATGGTATGCAGACACGTGGACGGCTGACTTGTCGAATTTAGGACACAGTCTCAGTGGGGAAGAGCAGTGCCTCTGGGAGAAGCAAAATAGAGATTATCAAGTTCCTGGAAATCATTGAGATCAGACCCAGTCCCTTTGCAGCAGGCACTCAATGACTAGACCCATGAGAAAGACCCCTGGCCTGGGTAACTGATGTGCGGCAAGTGGGTCCGGGGCAGGCAGACAAGTGGTCGTTCCTGTAAGACATCACACCTTCCATTTATCTTTCGTCTTCTGGATCAGCGTTTTCCTAAGCATGGTCTTGGTATCGCCTACCTCAGAATTCGTTAGCTGAGGTAACAGTTCAAAATGCAGATCCTCGATCTTCTACCCTCAGCTGTTCTGCGGTCTGGAGGGGAAGGCCCTGGCATCCGCACCCCTGACGAATCCCACCCGCTGATTTGAGCATCGTCCATAGAATCTTCTCTCCCAAACTGACCTAGTCGCTGTTCTCCAGATGCACCCCAGGTCTCTGTAAACATCTGTGAGCAGATTAAATCTTCTAAGATGCCCTGCATTACAGAACCCTGCTTAGATTTATTTAAGTCATTTCTCTAACCTAATCACAGAAACTTTTGTTTCTTCCATAGAACACCACTCCACAAAACAGATTTTTACAGATGCCGGCTTGTGCCATTTCTTCGGGAACTGAGCATCACATTTTAGATTATGAATTCTCTTGTAACTGTTATTGTTAATAAATGTGACTGATAGAAATTACAGATTATGACTGAGGACAAAGGCTCTGGCTCTTACTGGAAATTGTAATTGTTTACAGAAAGGTTCTGGGCAGCATTAAAAGTGCAAAGAGAAGGAAATGAGAAAAAAATAGAGAATTTGGAATTTGGAAAACATTTTTATTTTTTATTTTTCTAAAGATTCTATTTTTAAATGATCCCTGCACCCAGTGTGGGGCTCAGCCTCACAACCCCAAGATCAAGAGCCGCACGCTCCACGGACTGAGCCGGCCAGGGACCCTGGAAAACGTTCTTAAGTGCTTGAGTCTAACTTTAGTATTTGCAGACATTTTTGAGAACTTACTTTAAAAAAATGTTGATTTTACATTTTTGAGCTTCACAAAATTTATTATTGTCTTTTCTCTGTGCAGAGTGTTAAAAGCTATGGAAGGAAAATGGATAACAGATCAGTTGGTAAGCTGTGAGAAGTATTTAAATAATAATATTCTTTATACTTGACGTTACATGCTTTTCAGTTGGTAGTGCTTAGAATATCACTTTGAATTTACCTTTATTTTAATCATTTTTTGGCAGCCCTCTATTTGTAGTGTGGGCTCTCAAATATTTTATCTAGATTCCAAACACAGAGTACTGGCAATTAATTACAGAGCCATTATAAAGGGTAAGTACAAAGTCTGATATTGACATAGGAATACAAGAATGATGAACTATCCTTTTTGAAAAAACTTACTCATTGTAAACATACACTCCCTTCACAGATTGATGATTAAATGTGAAAAGTAAACTCATAAAAATATTAAAATATGGGAGAGTATTTACAAATGTAACCTACAGATGAACAGACCTTTATAAGCCATAAAGGAAAACATCTTCACAGACTGCATAAAAGTTTTAAAGTTCTGTATGTTGAAAACTCTAGGCAAAATGAACATAACTGGGAAAAAATGAGTATAGCATATGAAAGAAAATAAGGGGTTCAGGGGAGGGTATATGATATGGCGAGTGCTGTGAAGTGTGTAAGCCTGACGATTCACAGACCTGTACCCCTGGGGCAAATAATACATTTTATGTTAATAAAAGTAATTAATTAAAAAAATAAAATAAGGAGTTCGATTGATAACACTTTTATTCCGTGTTGGTGGGAGTATACATTGATGTATTTGGTTGGAGGACAAGTTGGTGGTTTGTTGGGGTGTTTATGGTTTTTTTCTCACACGTGGTATTTTCGGCAGGTTTCCTCCTAAGAAAATACATGAATGCAAAGATTAATGGATAAAGAAACTGATTGACCAGTGTGGGTAGTGATCCATAAGTATCTTAAAAGCTCATTAAATAGGATGAGATAACTGATACTGTGTAGCTGTCCAAAAGAATCCCCAGTCCATACATATTGATATGGAGTGATATCCAAGAGTTTTCTAATGATAGAGCAAACAAAAAGTAGGCTAGGATAAAGTATGATTCCCTTTGTGTGTGTGTTTTAAATATAAATATACTCTAAAAAATCTGAAAAGAGGGGTGCCTGGGTGGCTCAGTGGGTTAAGCCTCTGCCTTCGGCTCAGGTCATGATCTCAGCGTCCTGGGATCAAGCCCCGCATCGGGCTCTCTGCTCAGTGGGGAGCCTGCATCCTCCTCTCTCTCCTCCTGCCTCTCTGCCTACTTGTGATCTTTCATTCTGTGAAATAAATAAAGTCTTTAAAAAAAATAAATTAAATTAAATTTAAAAAATTTAAAAATCTGAAAAGATACATATCAAAGTTTAATCTCAATTACCCCTGAAGGAGTGTGATCCTTTATCAAGCTAGTGATCGCTTTATTTTTTCTCTTCTGTGATGTTTAATTTTTTTTTTAATTTTTTTTCACAATAAGCATCATTCATAATTTTTAAATACTTGGAGTTATCAAAACAAAATACACTGTATGGGAAAAGACTATTTATAAAGAATCCCATCCCCATTTTTCTAAATTCCATGTACTGTTTTCTAATTTTTCTTTCAAAAATGTCAGTATTGCTTCTTCTTCTTTTTTTTTTTTTTTAAGATTTTATTTATTTATTTGACAGAGAGAGAGATCACAAGTAGGCAGAGAGGCAGGCAGAGAGAGAGGGGGAAGCAGGCTCCCTGCTGTGAGCAGAGGGCCTGATGCGGGGCTTGATCCCAGGACCCCGAGATCATGACCTGAGCCGAAGGCAGAGGCTTAACCCACTGAGCCACCCAGGCGCCCCTCAGTATTGCTTCTTGAAGACTAATACTGTTTACAAGTGAGGACGTCTCCTGGCTGTTTCATCTTTGAGTCAGTCCATGGGGTCCCATGGGTGTGTTCTCAAGTGTCCCTCCAGGGAGGGTGGCACTTCGTACCTGCGGCAGCTCTGCAGTCTGCTCTGTCTTATACTGTCAGGCTCCTTAGGCCGGCGTTAAACACCATAAATATTTGAATGCTGTTTTAAGCTTTTAATTATGCACATTTATAGAGGCATTATAGAATAGGTAATCCTACTTTTTAACTGACTACCAGGTTGCATTTTTACTGATCTTTTATTCGTCTTGGGGGAGAAAACCTTCTGTTTTTATTGAAGTTTTGATTATTTTGCAAGTAATAATTGTGTATTGTGTTAGTGAGATAATACAGTGATGTTAATGTTCTCCTCAGTAAATAGCATGAAGAGTTTAGAGCAGTGCAGCCGTAGAACTTTCTGTGGTGATGCAGATGTTCTGTGTCTAAACCCACCAGTATGGTAGCCATTAGCCACATGTGGTGTTGAACACTTGACCTGTGGGTAGTGTTGAGTAGGAACTGAATTTCATGCAATTTCATATGACTTTTAAATAGCTACATGTCACTAGCTGTATATTGGACAGAGCAGGTTAAGAGCATATACTTTGCCATTTTTCTCTGTCCTCATTAACACACGAAAGAACTATGCGTATTTCTTTCTCTCTGTCTTAATTTCTGACCAGCTTCTGCACTGAACCAGAATAACACTTTGTTTTTTCATAATCCACTGTAGTCACAAAAGTTATAATAAATATATTGGTCTTTTCTTCATTATGTTTTCTAAGATATGCCTCAAAATAATGGTGATCCTAGGTTGATAATCCTGTTACTCATAAGAGACCAACATTTGTGATATTTTTTGCATACTTTTTTTTTAAGAGATGGAAAATAATGTCCTGCAAGATGAGGATTGAACAGCTGAAACAAACAATATGTAAAGGGAATGAAGAAATGAAAATAAGTAAGTAATCTGTCCCCCTTCTTCTAGACCTAATAAAGGGCTAGTGTGGAATGTCATTGGCCTCATAAGCTAGAGAGAGACAAAGAGAGGAGGGGCTGGAAGGCAACAGCAACCTGGAAAGGTTTCCTGCTTGCCTTGCTCCTTTTGTCAAGCATTTGTATAGGAATTTTAAGTAAATATTTTTACAAATATCTGTATTTTATATACACACATACACACAAATATAATTACCTTTGAATAAAGTACTTTTCTCAATTAAAAAGGTGCTAACAGGAAGCTTGGTACTCAGTTATAATTATTAGTTCACTCCAAAACCACAGAATACTGGCTTTTTCTCTTCATTAGTGAGTCTCATGTACATTTTAATCTGTATTAATCTTACATTGTATTTGTGTACCTCATCCTTCATCGTAAATGGTTGTCAGATTTTAGGAGAGTCCTCTTAGAAACCCTGTATCCTTAGACATATCCCATCTGTTTCTGAAGATCATTGTTTAAAGTTCAGAGTGAGTCACTGTCATGCCTTATGACTCCCTTTCTTGTCTGCTTGTTCTTTCAGAAGCAAGTATTTTATAGTGGTATGTAATAGAGCAAAAGCTTCCTTTGAAAATGTTTGTCCTCATAAAGGGCTCCTGTGGAGTTTCACAGGATTAGTCAGCCCAAGAGGAGGGCCGCGTGGAGAGGAGCTGCTCAGAACCACACACAGCCGGTTACCCACGGAGCTTTGCCTGCGCCTCTGCAGGCTCTGGTTCAGCAGCAGCGTAGCAGCCTGTGACTGACCCCTCTCTCCCCATCCTCCCGTGAGGCTCACATGTGCTCCCAGGTGTCTGTGACCCTCCTGGAACTGCTGGATTCACTGAGTTTGTGCCTCGCCTGATGAGCAAGTTTAAATCTTTGATGAGCTGAATTTCACAGATTCCTAACTCCCCAAAACAAAACGACCACCACAGAAAAGATTTGGCCCTAGAGCAGTGGACCCTGTGAGAGTGCTTCCCATTCCTACAAATCCTCAGTCACCTGGTGACGCTTGTACAATCTAGAGGGAGAATCCTGGGACCCACCTTGGACATAGGAAGTTCAAGTCTCATGCGTGGGGCCGGGGTCAGTGCTTCTCAAACTGTCTGTAGTAAAAGACCATTTTCTCCCTCTCTGATTTCTAATCTGTCATAAATTGATCCCAGTAGTTTTGTAAAATACAATAAAATGCTAGGAAAATGATTGCACACTTGAATGGTTTGTCCGTGTCATATTGCCATGTCACAGAGAAATGTTGCTGAGCTTACCTGTATTTCTGTACCTCTCTTGTCTGACTGGTGAAAGTTTACTGACGGGCCCAGATCCAGGGGCCACACTTCGAGTAGTACTATTCTGGGTTGCACTGATGACTTACCAAGGGATGGGAACCACTGCTCTTTAGAACATAAATGCAGTCTAGTTGCCACCCTTTAGACGAGACTCAGAAAATTCTGCAAACAATTTTAGGGGAGTTCATGAATTCCAGAAACTATGCATGGTCTCAAGTCCACAGATGAAGAGCTTGTTACTCAGCAAATAGTATTTCTTAAAAATTTTGTTGTTAAAAATATCACATATAGGGCGCCTGGGTGGCTCAGTGGGTTAAGCCGCTGCCTTCGGCTCGGGTCATGATCTCAGGGTCCTGGGATCGAGTCCTGCATCGGGCTCTCTGCTCAGCAGGTAGCCTGCTTCCCTCTCTCTCTCTGCCTGCCTCTCTGTCTACTTGTGATCTCTCTCTGTCAAATAAATAAATAAAATCTTTAAAAAAAAAATCACATATATTCAGAAAAGGTCATATATTATAAATTGTAGAACCTGATGAGTGTTTCTCCAGAATCTTTTGGTGTTATGTGTCATGATACAGAATAATACAGATATGTTATATGGTATAGATAAGGAAGTTGGATTTTATGAACCTTTAAGGTTGAGTCGATCGGTGTTATAAAGTTACTTATCCAAGACAAGCAACAGTAGATGACAGAAATAGCATCAGTGTTTTTATGTTTAGGGAGAGATGGCATGGAGAGAAGGACAAATGAAACTCTTGAGTGCTGAGTCTGCACGAGTGCAGATTAGGTGACTGCTGATCTCCTGCCACCTGGGAAGGGTCATGATATCAAGTTGGAAACTATTCTTAAAAAATCTGACCACCATGACCGGGGGCCTTGGCCAGACATTCATTTGAGCACTTGTAAAGACCCCAGTAGTGGTCATGAAAATGAGTGAGCTTGCTGGAAGATAAGTGTGATGGAACCAGCGACTTAAACATTAGAACATCCACACTGAGCAAGAATGGTAAAGAGAATGCATAAGTGAGGGGAAATAAAATTGCAGGAAATCTTATGCCTGCAGCAAAGTGCCTAATAGATAGCCAGATAGCCAGTAAGTTTTTCAAACTGGATTAGATACCTTTTCTGCCCGCCATGGTTATTCTTCAGTGCTTACCGTTAGTCAGGTACCTTCTGGCTTAAACTTGATAGTTGTTGAGTGATTCTTTGAAATGATGACTACAGATGGAGACCCGGAGCCCTTTCAGTGGTGGGCCCCTTTGATTCATTTGTTTACATAAGCTGAACTCCCAGTTTCCACTTAGTGAACATTATGTAGTTAACCTGATGGAGGTTTTGCTTTTGGTTTAAACCGCAGGAAGATGCTTACCCTTGGGAGGTGGGTTCTGCAGTCCCCAGGAGCTATTTATAGAGTTAATCGTTGGGTGTGATTTATTTCAGATTCTGAAGGCCTTCTCAAAACCAAGGAAAAGAACCAGAAGCTCTACACTCGGGCACAGCGGCACCAGGAGAAAAAGGAGAAGATTCAGAGACACAATCGCAGACTTGGTGACCTGGTAGAAAAAAAGACTATTGACTTAAGAAGTCATTATGAGCGTCTGGCAAAACTTCGGCGATCTCATATATTAGAGCTCACCTCGGTCATTTTTCCAATCGAGGAAGTAAAGACTAGTGTGAGGTACAGTGAGTCTTTTGACTCTAGGAATAGATCAAGTTTCAGAGCAAGTATATTTCAAATATGGCAGCACCTCATTATCGGGTTCGTTCTGGGGTCATTGGCTTTCCTGGTACTGAAACTAAAGTCTTATCTGCTTCAGCAAACAGTACACGCTGCATGAAATTGGGGAGGCTGCCAAGGTGGAGGGCGGTGGCCCTCAGAGACGTGGGGCCCTCACTTGTTGACTGACCTGTTGACTTAGCCTTTTCCTGGTAACTAGCTGCTGGCAAGCAGTGAAGACCGTGAGTTTAGTCTTAGGCTCTAGTGCGTGGCTACCCTCAGGAGTCATCAGATGGACAAGACCGTGGTTCCCCACCAGCATGTTCATCAGAGTCACTCAGGAACTTTTGAAAAATACAGGTTCCAGAGGACACACCGTCCGGTCCCCAGCCTATCTCGTAATACCTTTTTTTTTTTTTTTTTTTAAACTTCCCAAGATGATAATTGATGATGTATGAAAACTGCTACGGAGGAGTTCATTTACTTTCTCACTAACCATCAGGTTGTTCCAGTTGAGGATTTTCCTGTCTCTTTTGGTTGCCCTCACTGCCCAGCATATGTTCCTGTCTGGCCGGTGGACTGTGACTCGTGAGGACCATTACTCTGCCTGCTCCCTCTACTTCACTGTGTCTTTTCGGCCTCTGCCTGAGTTAACTTCCTAAAAGCCTAGAGATCTCATTGTTCTTCTGGCTTGAAACCCTGCTCTCTACCAAGTAATTTTTCATTAGTAATAGTAGTAATTAGTAATAGTGGGCAAATATAAAAATAAGGTAGATTCAAAATAGAGCAGAATAGGAAGTTCAGAAATAGACTCTAAGGTAGCCTTTTGGGTCAGTGGGGAGAAGTTAGGGTATAAAACAGGCGACCAGGCCTTTGGGGAGGAAAAAGCTCATAAAACAGAAACATTAGGGTAAGTTAGAATCTTTTTTTTTTTTTTTAAGTTGTTTTTTTTTTTAGTAATCTCTACACCCATAGGGCTCCTCACCCCAAGAGTCAAGAGTCGTGTGTTCTTCCAACTGAGCTGGCCAGGCAGCCCCAGTGCTAAATTAGATTCTGATGGACTAAGGTATCAGTGTTAAAACACAGTAAACAAAGACATGGTCTTAAGACACTGTCTCAGATCTGAGGAGACCAGGGAGACCAACAGCTGAATGGGAACTTGCAGAGGAGAAAACATGGAGAAAAACTTTCTCCTCTCTGTGCTGTTAAATCTTTTATAGCAGTATATGATACTATATGCTGGTACTTTTTTAAAGCCCATAGTTTTGAAGTTACTTCTGTAAAAAGGTTTCTTGTCCATTCACATTTCTCAAACTTGTTACATGGAAGAAGGAAGAAGCAGAAGTGCCGCTCAGAACTGGCCGTAGTGCCCCGCTCCCCTCCCTGTGACTGCCAGGACCCTCGCCCCACAGGCATGGGGTGGCTGGAGAAGAAAGGATTGAGAACAGAACCTCAACTTAGTGCAGCGCAGACATCCTCCCCAGTCTGCCCCTTTCCCACCTATTTTTCCTACACTGACACCGACCCAACGGCAGGGATCATCTTGTCTCTGCACCGCCACTGAGCACACACTGTCCCCCCCCCCACACACACACACACCCGCCCCCCACCCCTGGTGGGGCGTGCTGACTTCTCGCGCCTTCCCACTCTCCGGGCCCTCAGTTCAGAGCGCCATCCACACTGTCACAAGTATTTCTGTGTGGATAGTAACACTGCATTTCCCTTTTTCATGGTGCGGACATTTGCACTGATGGCCCAGAAGCCATTGTGGGTCAAAACTGCTACCTTGACAGATGTCTGAGCAATGACGCCAATTGTGTCACCTGTCATTGTATTCTACCATGTACTTGCATTTTCTGAGAGAAAAGCGTTTCACGTCAAGGACGCTCTTGATGAAGCAGTGGAAATCATATTTTTATTTAAATTTTATTGTCTTGATCCTTGTGTACACATCGTTTTACTCGACCACACGATGAAACGGGAAGTGGGCAGAAGCTCCTTTGCTCTGTTCTGAAGGGCCTCAGCCGGCTTACCAGAAAGCACCCGAGTGAGTCGCAGGCGGGACGAGCTGGTGTGTGCATAGGACACTGTTTTTACTTGAAAGAACTACTGTAAGACTTGGCTGTGATAGAGATTTTCAGAAGTCTTGACCAGTGCTGTTTTGCTGTGTGTTTCAGTGGTTAACAGACAAAGCCACTCTTCACTGATTTTCTTATTTTGAAAAGTACGTTTTTTTTTTTGTTTTGTTTTCATAAAAATATACTGTGTTAACATATAATAGGTTTATTATTTCCAAATGAATGAATCATTTAAAATTTTCTCAGATTTCTAATACAGGCAAATATCAATAATCTGCCCATCACAAAAGCTCTTTGCGATTCTCCAAAAATTGCAAGTGTGTAAGCATGAGACCAAATAGTTCGAGAACCCGATAGTGAGGCGGCAGCGGCCTTCTGTGGCCACAGCGGTTTCAGCTTCATATCTGATAGAGTTACTTATCTCTGTATATTCCAGTTAAACTCCTGTCCTCGCGTGTGCATCTTTCAGTGTTCTGCTGGTCAGGCAGGTAACTTGCATGCTCTTTAAAACCCATTCCCTTGAAATCTGTATGTGTGTTCTGATTTTCAGAGATCCCGCAGATGTGTCCTCGGAGAGCGACAGTGCCATGACCTCCAGCACCGTGAGCAAGCTTGCCGAAGCCCGGAGGACAACTTACCTCTCGGGAAGATGGGTCTGTGACGATCACAACGGGGACACCAGCATTAGCATCACAGGGCCTTGGATTAGCCTTCCCAACAATGGGGACTACTCTGCCTACTACAGTTGGGTGGAAGAGAAGAAAACCACACAGGGGCCTGGTGAGAATCAGAATAGTCTTTGAAAACTTAGAAGTACGTATATTTTTTAATTGAGGTAAAATTTACGTAACGAGATGAACAGCTGTAAAGCGAACAATCCCGCGGCATGATGACATTCGCCGTGTTGTGTGTTGGTACCCGGAGCACTGGCATCACCCCAGATGGGCGCTCCGGGGCCCGGAGCTGTCATGCCCCTGTCCCCTCTGCTCCCTGCCCTGGGCAGCCCCTACAGATGAGATCAACGTATGATGGTTCAGCTTACAATTTTTTTATTTTATGATGATGCAAAAGTGGTACATGTTCAGTAGAGTTCACGCTTTGAATTTTGAATTTGGATCGTTCGTTTCCTGGGCTGGTGCTGTGCATGTGTACGCTCGGGGTGCCAAGCCCCCGAGGCCACCAGGCAGCTCTGTGGCTGTCAGGGTGCACAGCCGGTGGAGACACCGATGACTGTTTCATGCTTCACTTCCAGTACAGCGTGCAGTGCATTGCGTGAGATGTCCAGCATGTTATTATAAGTAAATGACTTTGCCCAGCTGTAGGGTCAGTGTTCTGGCCTTGGGTCAGGCAGGCCAGGTGAAGCTATGGTGGTAGTTATTTAGGTGCCTTAAATGCATTTTCAGCTTAGGATATTTCCAATTTACAATGGGTCTATCAGGACATAACCCCATCCTAAGTTGAGGAAGATCTATAATTTTGTTTTCTGTAGGTCTAGAGCTATCTATTTTGGATATTTCCTAGAAATGGGATCATTCAGTGTGTGACCTTTTGTGTCTGGCTTTTCTTAAATAGCGTAGTGTTTTCAAGGTTCATCCATTTTGTGGCATGAATTAGCATCTCATTCTTTTTATGACTGGGTCATATTCCATTGTATGTAATGTGGATATATCACGTTTTATATCCATTTTTAGGTATTTCACTTTTGGGGGGCTGATACTGCTTTATTTATATAAAAGACCTCACTAGTTAGTATATTTAGCCAGTAGAGTCCTGTTTTTGTAGTATCTTTGTAAAGAGCTTGTTTTTAGCAGCCCGAAATGGAGATAGAAATTGCCCAATAGAAAAACCCTTTAAAACTCCGGTAGCTTTCTTTGGTGGAGAAAAGATTGTTCATTTAGTTATTTAGCAAATACATAGTGAGTATGTGCTTTCTGTCATGCACGGTGCTAGGTGCTGGTGAGACAAAGTGATGTCACCAAGACAGGTGTAGCCTAGGTGAGGCCTTTCTGAGGAGGTGACATTTAAGTTGGGCATTTACTGTTCTAATAAATAATACATTATCAGGTCCAAGCAGTTCAGACTTCAATTTCATTTATGTTGGGTCTGTCTGGGCTCATTTGCTTGGGTTACATTCCACACCGCAAAAATCAGAAGCGATGAAACGTTAATGTGTGGCCAGGAACGTGTTATTAGTCTGTTAGGAGCAAAACATAACCATCAACAATGTAATGATAAAATTACAGATCATAAAATCTAGGTTCCCTGGTATTTTTCGTTGAAATTAAAGCTGTGTGTGGTTGTTTCTCTGCCTCAGACATGGAGCACAGTAACCCCGCTTACACGATCAGCGCCGCCTTGTGCTACGCGACTCAGCTGCTCAACATCTTGTCTCATATACTTGACATAAATCTTCCCAAAAAGCTGTGCAACAGGCAAGTAATTGAAGGTGACGAAGTTCTCTTTATCACAGATCTCGTTTTCCTATTAGGTACTTACTCTAATTAAACCAAAAATAGGAATTTAAGTATTATTAAGCCAGAAAAATGACTGTGAAATGTTGAGATTAATTTCCAAAGCCTACTGTGCAAGTTTGTTTCATTATCTTAAAATTGCACATGAAGTCTTCGAGAAGACCACGGAGAATTCTCCCACTTGTGAAAGTAATTGAAGGAAAATCTAGGATCTTCAGAGGGTACGCTCATGTGTAAGAACTGGGTAAATCATAGCACCTGAATATAAAATAAAAAACATGTGGCTTAGAATTCAAAAAAAATGTAAGGGTGCCTGGCTGGCTCAGGGGAGCATGTGACTCTTGATCTCTGTGTTGTGAGTTTGAGCCCCACGTTGGGTGTAGAGATTACTTAAAAATGAATTTTGTTTTTCTTTTTAAGATTTATTTGAGAGAGAGCTTGTGCATGCAGGGGCCAGGGGTGGTGCAGGGCGGGCAGAGGGAGAGGTAGAGAGTCCTTTCAACAGACTGCCCTGAGTGGGGAGCCTGACACGGGGCTCGGTCTCATGACCCAAGCTGAAACCAAGAGTCATATCCTTAACTGACTGGACCACCCAGGTTCCCCAGAATAAAATCTTTAAAAAATAAATAAATAAATAAACATTTACAGCGTACTCAGTTCTAAGTTCTGCTCAGTTCTACTAAGCCCTTCCTACGACTGTCCAGTCATCCTTACGTTTCAAGCCAAATAAATATGTATTACCATCTCTCTCCCCTTTTAAACACAAAAGTTATGCCAGGGTGTTTTACACCTTGCTTTTTGAGTGTTTAACAAATATTTGAGCCCTTTTCTGGGCACTGAGAGGGTACAGTGGTGATGAAAACCTAATCCTTGCCCTCTTGGCCCTTCATTCTAACAGAGAGACAGATAATCAATGAGCGGTGTGTCCGCTGGTCATGAAGCCTGTGGAGGACATGAAAGCAGAGTGGAGGAGAGGGGACGGGGAGGCAGGGGCTTGCAGTATGTGAGTGGGCTCATGTGCGATCACCTGTGACCCTGAGGGAAGGAAAGAGGGGAGCAGGCCATGTGGGTCCATTGGCGCCAAGAGAAAGCCCTGGGGAGAGCGAGGACAGTGAAGAAGGTGGGGGTAAAAACTGGGTGGGCCTCGTGGGGCCATTGTGAGCCTCCACAGAGCGGACAGTTAGCAGAGGTTTCTGGTGTGGTGTGCCACGATCCCACCAGTCCCCTGTTTCTGTTCACAGAGTAGTCTTGTACATTTGTCATTTCGTTAGTGTGCAGGTGTTTGTGTTGAGTAACTTTTCCTAAGTGGCATTGCTGGTCAGAGGGAATATGCCTTCGTAATTTTTGTAGATGCGGTGGAATCGCCCATCATGAGGGCGGTTCGTTCTTAGAAAGTCTCTGTTGAGTCTGACTTATAAAGAAGCAAAGGATGTGGGGTATGTTTTATACTCAGCTGTGGTGTAAAATACACTCTTCCAAATAGACATTTTACCATAGAATTTCCTCGGAAAGATCCAATTTTACAAACTGTATGTTTGTTTTCCAGTGAATTTTGTGGGGAAAATCTCAGTAGACAGAAATTTACTCGAGCAGTGAAGAAACTGAATGCAAATATTCTTTACCTGTGCTTTTCTCAGGTATGGAAAATACGCTGTGAGCTCATTTTTACTGTGTTACTTGGTTGAAAATGTTAATCAGTTTTTTGCTTTTTCTAGCATGTAAACTTAGATCAGCTACAACCACTGCACACTCTGAGGAACCTAATGTACCTGGTCAGTCCTAGCTCTGAACACCTGGGCAGGTAAGAATGCTTCTTGCTTTTTTCTAAGTGGCGGTGCTGTGAGTCCTTCTAAGCAGAGTGGTTGTGCGTGTCGGCAGAGCCCAGGGGCCTGGTCCTCACCCCCAGAGTCCCCACAGAAGACAAAAATAATGTGGTCCTGTACAGAAGGGCAGAGCGGCTGGTCAAATTTGAGCCTTTACGGTCCTTACATAATCATTTCTCGGAAAATTAATATCAGACATTTTTAACACCTAAAATGAAATAGAAGACCCCAAATGTTCCCGGAGGGGGTGCCTTGTGCCACGCTTGAAGACCAGAAGCCATTTCTTGGACTCCATGTCCCTTTCTTGGCGCTCTGTAGTGTCCGTCCCTTTTCCTGTGCCTTTCCTTTCATGCCTCCTCCCACCATAATAGTTCTTCCCAGTCATCTTTTTGTCTTTCTGGCCACCATCAACTGGAGATAAAGGGTATTAGAAGTTTCAGGGGTGAACTAGTTTAAAATCCATTAGGTTAAGAACAAGAGTCAGTAACAAAAAAGACCAACCAGGGCTGGTCTGTGGGATCCTTCTAGGCCCTCAGCCCAACCTAGAGGAAGCTTTTCTTTAGAACCATTCAGGTAGCCCCTCTTGAGTACATATCCTTTTTCCATGCTCTGGAAAGTCTGTCCCTACATTCTGAGATATGACTTAGTTAATGTATTTGTACTTTTGAAAGAGGCTAAAGAAAATAAAAGGCAGGAATGTTCTTTTGGGGAGTCTCCTTCCCATCGTTCATTTGCCTTTACAACTGGAACCAAGGTTCAGGGGGCCTTTACTCCGGCCAGGGTGCTTGGCTTCCTCCCCATGGCAGGGAACTTTCCATGGGAATCTGCCCTTAGCCACTGGCTTGTGTTTTCTTTCCCCACCCCCCACCCCGCCCCCACCTAAAACAGTAACTTACCTGGGACATAGAACCCTGTGGAAAAAGCTGTGCCCTCTCTCTGGGGAACTGGACACACACATCTAGAATTCTATGCCGTTTTATAGGGAGTTCATGCTCCTTGCCTCAAATTCCATTCATTAGTTCACAAAGCACCTGTTAGAAATCCACCCCAGTTTTAGTGGTTGATTTCTGTGGGTTTGTTTGCCATCCTCTTTGTACTTTATTTGTATAGAGTTGAACATTAGGAAGTTTTTTTTTAGAAATTTTATTTATTTGATAGATCACAAGGAGGCAGAGAGGCAGGGAGAGAGAGAAGAAAACAGGCTCCCCGCTGAGCAGAGAGCCTGATGCAGGGCTCGATCTTAGGACCCTGAGATCATGACCCAAGCTGAAGGTAGAGGCTCAGCCCACTGAGCCACCCAGGTGCCCCTCAACATTAGGAAATTAATCCTTAATAATAAGAACTAATATTTGTTGAGTCAATATTTCATAGGTGGGCTGATTATTCTTATTTTACAGAAGGGGCTGGCTGGTAACTGAAGCTTAGCGTAGTCAAGTAATTCGTGCTCATGATCACAGAGGCCGTCAGAGTAATAGAGCTAGCGTCCCAGCCCGCATCCGACTCCACAAAGTGGTAGATGCTCGTGCTTTTAACCAGTACACACCACTAATCACATGAACAGATTAAAAAAAAAAAGATCAACCTGATAGATGCCAGAACAGCAGTGAATAAAATTCAGTTCCTATGAATAATTAAAGAAAACTAGTTGCAAATTAAAAGATTATTAATTAAGAATATCTACCTTAAGCCTACAGAAAAGACTATTTCAGTGACATGTTCCTTATGTGTATGTTTAATAAAAGCATTCCTCTACAGTGAGGACAAGAGAAGGCCTGTTGTCACTGCTATGTTCACCTTGTTTTGGAGGCCTAGGCGAAGCAGAACAGTTTTACAAAGAAGTAAGGTCTATTTATGCTGGGAAGAAAGAAACTAGGTTGGCGTTGTTGCAGATGGTTGAACTGGCCATCCGGGAGAGCTCGCTTGCTTATGTGCTGACGGCTAGTCAGATGACAGAATGAGGAGAGGCTCCCCTTTACTGTAGCAACACAAACTATACATTACATAGGAATAATCTTTACAAAACATGTGCAAACCATACAAAGAAAATAGGAAACTTGAAAAAAATGGTTCAACATCTATTTCTTGAATTTCTGCTAGGCAGCGCGTGAGGTGTGGGCCCGGATGAGAGAAAGCTCGAGGCAAGGAACACCCTCAGGATTTTCTTGGAGAGAAAGGCTGAGTAGTATAAAAATGCTCCTTCTCCCCAGAAGGAAACCTGATCAGAATTTCAACAGATATTTCATGGAACTTTGACAAGCTAATTCTGAAGTTGAGCTAGAAGCACAGGCTGCAAGGAAATTTTGGAAAAGAATAGTAAAGGATGGGCTTGGCCCCTTTTAAAACATAGCATAAAGGTGATTAAACCAGGTGCTGTTAGCATGCAAGTAGGTGGAGCAATTAGACACAGAGAAGAGAGTCCACAGATGGGCCCTGTCCCTGCAGGGAGGATAGCACAACAAGGGCCGGCCTGTTGAACCAGATAATAATAGATCGATAGCAGCGGGCCGGTGAGTATTCATACAGGGACAAAGCTGGACTCATACTACATTCCGTATGTAACAATAAATTCCAGATGATAGCAAAGACCTTATTTTATTTAAAAAAAAAAAACACCCTATAAAATAGCTAGGAGAAAAGACAGTGTTTTATAATCACAGGGTGGGGAGGGAATTCCCATGCAAGCCACAAAACCCCCAAACCATGAAGGAAAGGAGTTACATAGTTTACTGTGTAAAAACTCTAAATGCCTCTGGTAAAATACCGGATACCAGAAAGTTAAAAGATAAGCAACAGTATGTTTTGCAGCCTGTATATCAGACAATGGATTAAATACCTAGACCACTTAAAATTTCAAATCTGTAAAAGAAAGGCAGACCAAATAGAAAAATAGCCAAAGGATTAATCCAGGCAGTTCACACAAAAGAAATGCAAGTAATCCGTATTCAGATGAAAAAAGTCTTCAGCCTCAGTGAAGAACAAAGAAGTGCAATTCAAAACAGCTTTCCAGTTTTCACCCATCAGTTAGGCAAAAATGGAAAGGATGGACGATATCCAGTATTGGTGGTTGTCCTTAAAAAAAAGGCTCTCTCCTACTAGGGGTGGATTTCTTTGGAGGGTCTGACGTTTTCTCTCGGCTTGCCCTTGAGTCAGCTCTCCAGTTAGGGTAGGGGTCTTTGTGATGTATGTGAAGCGCACATGCTCAGCCAGGCTCGTTACATCCGCGTTGGTGGTCCGTGAGCCGGGAGTCCAGGAGCTAGAGCTTCAGAAGTCCCTTTCCGGACCTGCCTCAGTCAGAGTCAAGGCTGTAGAGAGACTGTTATTGGAACCTGGGTGGGACTTCCTATTTCCATGGAGACCAGCTGAAGTGAGGATCCCATCCAGAATCCAACATAAATCTTCTTCGAAATAAATTCAGACTTGCAAAAATAGTCAAAATTGCAAAAAATAATAGTAGTACAAAGACATATATATCTTTACCCAGACTCACCTTGTTACTGTTTTGCCTTATCATTTGTATAATCTCCATAAAGACACACATACAGACATTTTTTTTCCAGAACTCTGTGTGGGTAAGTTACATACATGTATCATGGTTCTTGACCCCTAAATACTTGTATATGTATTTCCTAAAAATTAGGGGTATTTTCCTTTTAACCAACATCAGCAAATTTCACACTGATACAGTAGTTTAATCCACTGCCCATCTGCACGTTTTGTCTGAGGACCAGATTAATGTCCTTTACAGCACTTTCCCCTCCAGTATATGATCCAACCTAGAGTCTGGTGCTGGATTTAGTTGCTATGTTTCTTGAACCTCTTTTAAATCTGGAACGTTTCCATGGCCTACTTTGTCTTTTACGACATTAACACTTTTCCCTTCGTATTACTAGAACTTTCTTTCTGAATTTGGTATTTCTTCGTAGTGAGATTCCAGGAATCCAAGCATTCGAGGTAGAACACTGCCTGGGCCAGGAGTGTTTCCTGGACACTCTGGGGGCCACAGTGACCATCTGTCCCTCGTTGGTGATGTTAATTTGATCACCCAGTCATGATGCTTTCCACCTTCTCCACTGTCTAATTCCTAGATTTTTTTCCTTCCTTGCAACTAAGCAGCAGTCTCTGTGGAGACACTTTGAGACCATGCAGTTATCATGCTCATCAGAATTTCCCCCTGGGTTTAATACTTGTTGATTTTTCTTATCGGATTCAGTCTTTACTGTGATGTTGCCTACATTAATATCATTATCATCCAGACTGTGTAGTTTACAAAGAGCTAATTCTTGATGTTGTGTATCTGTCCAGTAATATTTTTGAAATATTTTGCAAAAGAGAGTTTTAAAACCAAAGAGGTCGTTTTGTTACCTTAATCGATAAGAATAATGCCCTGCAGCATCTTGAGAAAATTAGTGATTTTTATTCCCTGGTGACATTAAGTATGAAAGATTTAATTGTTTTGCTAATTTTGTGTCTGGCTAAGCGTATGCTGGGCAACAAAAATTGCTCCAGCTGGCCACTTTGGGAATCATCCAGTGGTTTTTCAGTTGAAATACTTCGCTGAGTGCCTGCTGCATGTCACCAGACTCTGCCCTGTGGGATTCCAGCGGAGTAGTGGAGTCCCAAGTGGCTTCCCACGGAGCTCTGCCTGGAGGGAGTATCACCCCCCACCCAATATCACTCCTGTCTGTCTCCTGGGAAAACTTTTGAGAGGGGGTCTGGGGACAGTGGCAGTCCTGTGCCATGTAGGTAAGGCAACATCAAAGAGAAACAGAAAACAGGCTATGCCTCCGAGCTAGCAGGGAGGCAGGCTTCATGTGGCGCTAGGTGCTGAGGCCCTTGGACAACAAAGCTCAAAGGACGGAATGAGCGGGCGCTGTGTTTAGGGAAGGAGGGAACCCAGCTGAGGTGCTACGCTGTGAACATTTGTGCGTAGGTGACTCGGGAGGAAGGGAAGAGGCGGCGGCTGCTGCTGCAGAGAGGACCTGAGCTGGGGCACGTGCGGAGGGGGACTTACTGGGTGATACCAGGCAGGAGCGTGAGGGTGGTGGCCCAGCTGGCTTGTTTTAAGAAGGGTCTCCTGGCTCAGATAACCTGAGATGAGCCGGAGAGGTTAGCCCTCACGTGGAGATGGCAGGCCATGAAGCTAGGAGGAAGGAGAGGTGTCGGAAGAAAATCTTTGGAGTAGACCTGTTTACCAAGGGGTGGGGGGAGGGAAAGAGAGAGAAGAGATGAAAGGAGAGCTTTTTAAGGAAACAGAAAAGGGATACTCAGATAAGATGCCAGTTGTTGGTTTGGAAAAGCTGCAGGGTGTCAAGGGGAGAGGCTCTTGGTTCTTAATGCCTTCACCCCTTGCAAAGTAAGGACTTCTGGGCTAGATGGAGGCCTTGTGAACTTGGGAATCCCTGGTCAGAGGGGCTTTTTGATATGTAAATTGCTTGAGGGAGACCAAGGGGAAACCCCATGGTACATCTTCCAATTTAAGGTAAAGCCCTAAAAACAGTGCCTGGGACAGACATGTTTGCTGTTACTATTGCTGGTACAGCCAGGAAGCAAGGTTGTCTTGGAGGAACAAAGGCTACTTGACCCAGGAGAAAGTGAGTTGGAAGGTGCAGGCCTGGTGAGGTACACTGGAGGCCAGTGCTAGGCTTTGGTCATTGTTAAGGCCATAAAGAATTTTAGACAGACTAAAATGGCAGGCTCTACCCATTCTAGGATATCTCTCATTTTATTTTTGCTAACCCCTATCATTTTCCCCAAAGTCATTATTGGAAGCATGTGTCCTTATCGTGGGGGCAATGGTGAGAGAAAGGGGCTGCTGGAGGGCCTTGGCTCCAGGAAAATCCTGGGAGAAGAGCAGGGGGCAGTGGGAGGACCAACCACCCAGAGCGAGTGCAGCGGGGCTCTCCTGAGGCAGGAGCGGACAGACACTTGGAAGGGGGCGGGGGAAGAGCAGCAGCAGGCCTGGGTGGGGTTTGCAGACGCCATCTCACAGCGGTCATCAGCACAGCTGTCCCAGAGGGTGAGGCCTGAGAAGGGTTATTAGATTTGGAGACGATGATGTCATCAGGGACCTTTGGGGAATAGTTTTCTCCTAAAGTACAGTGCAGAAATATGCATTATTCCAGATGACTATATTCTTAACAGTTATAGCTCAATCTGTTATAAATGGACCCTAGAAAAGTGTGATCGTGTCTGAAAATGTGTGCAGAGCCTGCTGCTGGCAGCAGTCAAGGAAGCGCTGCTAACACACGTACAGCTGGGCCACTTAGCTCCTTTGAGTCCTAAGAACGTAGAAATTAGGAGTTTCCGTAAGGCAGAGAACAGCTGTACTTTTTTTTTTTTTCTATACCATTTATTACTTGTGCCACCAAGTGATACAGCAGCGTATACAGCAAGTGACCGTTGTTGGTGGGACTGTCCCATCGAGATGCGTGGATCCTGCAGTTGTTCAGAGAGGAAGTCGTCCCTGGGACCAGGACGGCCGGTCTCGGTGCGTCCCGGAGCTCCACCAGCCGGGCGGGGGGCCCGAGGAACTGTGGGCGCGTGGTGGAGCGCATTCGTCCCGTGGCAGTTACCTGGGTGAATAACCGCGTTACGGACCACCAGGGGGTACAGTGCAGGCTCGGGAAGCAGGTAGACGGGCGGCTCTGGACCTCCTCAGTCCCGGCAGGCCTGTGTCACTGTTGTCACAATGCTGGTTGTGTGCGCGTGCAGGTCGGGACCCTTTGAAGTGCGAGCTGACCTGGAGGAGTCCATGGAGTTCGTGGACCCCGGCGCTGCCGGGGAATCGGACGAGAGCGGCGACGAGCGCGTCAGTGATGAGGAGACCGACCTGGGCACGGACTGGGAGAACCTGCCGAGCCCCCGCTTCTGTGATATCCCTTCCCAGCCCGTGGAGGGCTCCCAGAGCCAGAGCAGCCAGGTGTCCCCGCCCATTGCGAGCAGCAGTGCGGGCGGGATGATCTCGTCCGCCGCCGCCTCGGTGACCTCCTGGTTTAAGGCTTACACTGGACACCGCTAGTGCGCACGGGCCGCAGCGCGCCAGGTTTGTGTCAAGAAAGTTGTTCTTCCGCCACGCTCGAGTAAACTGTGTGTGTTCCGTTAAGATAGCGCCTGGAACAAAAAGAGGTTAAACTTTTTTTTTTCTTTTTTTTTTTTTTTTAAGCAGGGAGGACAAGCATTTCTATGTATCAGATGGCCGATGGGGGTGACCCACACGCTTATGCTAGAACAGCCAGGTCAGGGGTCCCTCTGCCCAGACCCGTGTTGGCGGAAGACGAGCGCGTGTGCGCTGGCCTGCTGAAGCAGAAACCTCACCCGGGCTCCCTTTGGTCAGGGGCCGCTGGGCCCGCAGAGGCAGGCTGACACATTGGTCCTTGTGCTGCGGAGACTGTTCCTGAACACTTTATGTTTTAGAAGTTGAATCACAGGCCAGTGATTCTTGATGATTAGGACTTGAAAGATAAAAACTGTTTCATATGAGTTTGTGCTTATGCCATCATTTTTTGTACGGAGAACCAGCAGGCAATTTGAAATACTCGATTTCTTTAGAATCTGGTCATGTTTGTTTTTTAGGTCAAGGATGTTGGTTTTGTTTGGGAGGGGATTTTGGGGAGGGGGTAGTTTAAAGTTATTTCACTCATGCTGCTGCTGTCATAGCTTGTCAGACATTCCTGTTTTTCTTTCTCCCACACACCAAAGAAATGAAGGTCTTTATTTTTGGACCCACATCCATGAACAGAAGAAATCCCAGCTGCAAGTATGGCCTGGAGATTTAAAAACTATATTCTTATATTCTGAAAGGAATTAAATCATTCTCACCTAGGTTATTGAATTCTACCATCTATACTATGTGCATTTGAAATTGAACTTATTTTTTGAGTGAAAAGTCATTAAGGTAGTTCCCTTATGTAAGCTAAATGCCTGCCTGGGCACAGGTTAAAGTCACTTAACTAAATGGCTCTGGTCATTCTTCTGGTGTCCCAGTTTTTTTCTAAGGGATTCAGTAGGTGGCAGGTTTTCCCAGGGAAAACCATCCTGCTTGCTTTCTTAGAGGTCTTTGTTGCTCTCGGGACACTCCCTTCACTCAGAAATGCAGAGCAAATCACAGCTGATACTACTCTTCTCTGACAGAATTTTCCCTCACCAAGAGATCATTTTCACCTAAGGTGTTGTCGTGTTATTCTCTTAGTGACAATCTCACAAGAAAACTGTAGAGAGGCATTATGTACAAATATGTAAGTAGTTTTTTATTTTTAATAACTGCAAAAACTCCTATGTAACAACTACAAAAAGAAATCCTATGAAAAATTTCTAACAGGCATTATTACCATATCTTGTTAGTGTGATTAGCATGACCGTACCTCAGATAAATCCGAGACCTACCCTACCCTAGCTTCGCTTCTTCTTGTAATTACATAGTTGATACTTTGCCTCCGAATCCGAGGTGCTATATAGCTTTTGCTATTGGTATATTTAACGTTTGGTAGAGTTGCAGAAGAAGGGTGTTTATTCCTATCCAGGAGTTCCAGGTTCCCTGACTCTGTGAATTTTCCACTCAGCGAGGTAACAGGCTTTGCTCCATGTGGGTTCTTAGTAGCTGGTGTCAGTTTTCAGCTTTGTGATGGCTGAGCTAGCGTTGTACCACCCAGGTCGGAAGTTCATAGGGAATGGGTACGTAGACTTGAACAAATACCAAATGAACTTAAAATCCCATGAGGTTAGGGTTGTCTAGGTACTTCAAACCCTCAAGAAGAGTTTAGTTTCAAGCTGAGAGAAGATAGAAGACGGATTTGGGGCTTGGGGATAGAGGTTGACTTATAAAAGATGCACAGTTATCATGGTTTCTCTCCTGTAGGCCGTGAGAAACCATGAGTGTGAGATTACAGTAAAGAATAGAATCCAGAGATCACAACTCCTGTCTAAAGAGTAAGTCAACAAAACTTAAAGGATACAGGAAGTAGGGATTGATAGAGTATATTTTGTTGTTTTTTTTATATCAACTAGAGGCACTTTATTTAGGGTTAAATGATCAAACCCTTTAGTGGTTTGGAACACCAACATACTGGCTTACACTGCTGAGATATTTTGGTTTTCATTATTTTGCACTGGATCCACTCTGTAAATATTCTTAAATACACATTTCAACCACTGTTTTTTCCTACTCTCTTTGCTGCTCATTAAAATCTTTCATGTAGGTGCCAGAACCATATGTAAACAGCTTTTTAAAAAACTGAAGCTGGTATTTTTTTTTAAACAAAAGCCATAGAACTTGGGTCATGTTTTCCATATAAAATGATTTGTTGAAACAAGGTAATACTAATAAAAACCTACAGGCACCAAATAGGCTGCTTAAAATGGTCTGTTAAAGATTCTTTTTGGGGATGGAATATAACTAGGAAAAGTTTTGCACATCTGTAAATTAAAGGGAAAAGCTGTATGTCAACATTGGTTATATGGACAGGATTCACTTAAGGATTCATGTATCAATAATTTGGGAAAGAACATTCAGGGCCATGCTGTTTTTAAAAGAACCACAGTGTCTGAGAATCTCCTTGTGGTGTAATGTTGCAGGAATTTCCCATTACTCTGCGACTTCCAAACCAGTTTGAGTCATAAAATGTTTTCTAAACTTTTATTGTATTATTGCAATAAATCTTTTAACAGTACTTTACTAATATGTGTGTCTTTTTCAAGCTCTGATTACTCATTTCTGTTGATACACTGAGGGTAGCAAAAATGAGATTTAAGGGGCACCCGGGTGGCTCAGTGGGTTAAAGCCTCTGCCTTCAGCTCAGGTCATGATCCCAGGGTCCTGGGATCAAGCTCCACATAGGGCTCTCTGCTCGGCAGGGAGCCTGCTTCCTCCTCTCTCTCTCTCTCTGCCTGCCTCTCTGCCTACTTGTGATCTCTGTCTGTCAAATAAATGAATAAAATATTTTAAAAAAATGAGATTTAACTCTGGAATAATTTATACAAATTGTAGGGTAATTTTTTAAGAATTTTTTTGCTAGGTAAGGAAAAAGGTCTGGTAATCCCAAAAATTATAGTTTATGGTGGATTAACAATAATGGTCTATCTCTGGTAAGCTGGGAAGAACTAATTGCTTACCAGTTACATACTTTCTCTAAAGATGTATTTTTCTTGTGTAGCCATCATATGGTGCATGTGCCCTACAGTGACTCGGGGCCCTAAAGGCAGCTCCATGAGGAGGTTGCCTTTGGAATCTGCCCAGACTTTTCAGGACAGGAGAGAAAGTGAAGTATCAGAGGTTAGAGGGGATCTGTTAAATTGAGAGGAGAACCAAGTAGTTTGGAGAATCACCCCCTCCAATCTGCCCTCTACCCCTTTCAGGTTAGATTATATAGAGTGGGGTCACCTGCAGGTAGACAGGGATACCAGGAGCGATTATGGCAGAACTGTTGCCTGCAGTCCAGCAGCAGGAGAAACCCAGGCTAGCAAACAGAAGGGTTCCCAAATAGGGCATGAACTTCAGGGCTACTGCCCTTCTACCTCCTTAGGTAACACTTAAAAACACGCTCCTGTCTAGTGCATACCCCAGAGTTACGTCATAACTGATGCAGGAAGCAGGGTGAACCATATGGGAAGCATGAACGATAGCTTTGTCCTTAGTGGTCAGTAAAACTTACATCAGTGAAATGGAGCGGGCTTTGGGGAAGTCCTCTAAACTTCAGCTGTGAAATGCTCAATGAGAGAAAGCCACCAACAGCACACTCCGAGGATTTGGGGAGAAAATACCCTGGGGAAAAAAAAGAGCAAATAATCCTAAAATTTGTATGGACCACAAAAGACCCCGAACAGCCAAAGCAGTCTTGAGAAAGAAAAAGCTGAAGGTATCATAAACCCCAGACTTGAAGATAGACTACAGTGCTGTAGTACTCAAAACATGATGGTACTGGCACAAAAACAGATCAATGGAACAGAATAAAGAGCCCAGAAATAGACCCACCTGTATACGGTTAATTAATCTATGTTATCAAGGAGGCAAGAATATACAATGTGGAAAAGACCGTTTCTAAATGGGAAAACTGGACAGCTACTGAAAGTGGACCACTTTCTTATACCATACACAGGAAAACTCAAAATGGAGTTAAGACCTAAATGCAAGGCTTGAAACCATAAAACTCCTCAAAGAACACATACACAGTATGGGATTTGGGGACTATGCCAAAATAAAAAGCTTTTGCATAACAAAGGAAACCATTAACAAACATAACAGTAACCTATTGAATTGGAGAAGACATTTACAAATGATAAATCCAGTAAGGGGTTAGTATCCAAAATATACTTTATACAACTCAACACACACACACAAAAAAACAAAAACAATCCAAGTCCCAACCTGAATAGATACTTTTTCTAAAGAAGACAGTGAAGGGGGTGCTTGGCTGGCTCAGGCAGTGGAGCATGTAACTTGATCTCTGGGTTGTGAGCTTCCCACACTGGGTGTAGAGCTTACTTAAAATCTAAAGACAGATGACCAATAGACACATGAAAAAACCCTCAACATGACTCATCTCAGGCAAATGCAGATCAAAACCACAATGAGATATCACCTCAACACCAATCATAATGGCCAACATAAAAAAGACAAGAAATAAGTGCTGGCAAGGATGTGGAGAAAAGGAAACCCTCAGGCACTGTTTGGTGGGAATGTAAATTGGTAGCACCACTGTGGAAAACAGTATGGAGGTTCCTTAAAAAGTGAAAATAGAATTACCATACGATCCAGTAATTCCACTACTGGGTATTTACCCAAAGAAAATGAAAACACTAGTTTCAAGAAGAGAGAGGTACCCTGTGTTTATGGCAGTGTTATTTACTATAGCCAACATATGGAAGCAATTCAGATGTCCACTGACAGATGAATAGAGAAGATATGGTCTATATACACAATGGAGTACTCCTCAGCCGTAAAAAAGAACAAGATCTTGCCTTTTGTGACAACATGGATGGACCTAGAAGGTATTACATGAATGAAATCAGACAGAAATACCATGATTTCACTTATATGTGGAATCTGGAAAAAACACACAGAGAAATGGTGGTTGACAGAGAGGTAGAGGGGATGGATGAGACAGATGAAGGTGATGAGATACAAACTTACCAG